GCCATAGGACTTTCTAAACTACAAATGGGGTCACTTACTTTCCAGTGCCTAAAGTCTGATGGTTTCCCATTGCTTTAAGAGATATTGAGGGATGGGGCTGGGAAGGTGGCTCAGTGGTAGAGCGCTTGCCTTGCATGCCTGAGGCCCTGGGTTTGATTCCTCAGCACCACATAAGCAAAAAGGAAAAAGCCGGAAGTGGCGCTGTGGCTCAAGTGGTAGAGCACTAGCCTTGAGCTGAAGAGCTGAGGGAGAGCGCCCAGGCCCAGAGTTCAGGCCCCACGACCGGACCCCAAAAAAAAAAAAAAAAAGAGATATCAAGGGAGAACTTAGTCAAAGAATGAATGTATGAAAATAGGGTATTGAAACATGTTGAAATTGTTTTAAGAAATAGGGATTTACTAACAAAGGCTTCATATCCAAAATATTACAAAGAACTCAAGAAATTAACTCCTCCCCCCCCAAAATAACAATAAACCTATCAATAAATGGACAAAGAAATTAAAAAGAGACTTCCAGAAGAAGTAGTTAAAGATGACAAGTAAACACATGAGGAAATGCTCAATATCCCTGACCATAAGAGAAATGCAAATAATTTTGAGATTCCATCTCTTACTAGTTAGATTGGCCAACATCAAGAGTTTGAATAACAAATGCTGGCAGGGATACAATGGAGGGATCCCAGGGAAAAGGAACACTGTTGCTGTGTTGGTAGGGATGTAAACTAGTACAATCACTCTGGAAGGTGGGTTGGAGGTTCCCCAAAAAACTAAACATAGAACTTTATGTTCTCAGCCATACCACTCTTAGGCATCTACCCAGAACATTATAAGTCAGGATACAGTGCAGACATTTGCATATACATGTTCATTGCTGTACTAGTCACAATAGCCAAGGGATGGAAAGAGCCCTGATGCCCTACAATAGATGAGTATATATATACACAATGGAATTTTACTCATCCATTAGAAAGGATAATATGATGTCATTTTCAGGAAAATTGATGTATCTAGAACAAAAATCATGTTATATGAGGTAAGCCAAGCTCAAGAGAGACAAGCAGCACATGTTTTCTGTCATATGGAAGTTAGATCTATAATATAACTGAACATGATTAACTTATACAGGATTCTAGGCATTTACACACAAACAATCAGACCAATGAATGAAGATACCCTTAGGGGAGGAATGCAAAGGTATAATTTTTAAACATAAAATACTGTTTATCAAAACAAATTCCAGGAAATGGAAACGTGTGGGGTTTGGTTGTTGGTGGTGGTGGTACTAGTAGTGGTGGTTTTTGCTTTAGGTTTTGTTTTGTTGTCTTTTAGAGGGACGAAAGGTAGATACAGAAAGAGAGGGAAGAAGTATGAACAAATGTAATCATAATACTCAGTATACTCTATGTGGAGTGGAAATGAACAGTGCAACTTGTGACAGAGATGGGAGGGGAGAACTGGGGGGAATTGAAGGGGTGACATTGTCCAAAAAAAAATGTAATCATTACCAGACTTACAAAACGGTAACCCTTCTGTACAACACCTTAATAGTGATAAAAAAATTATATTAAAAAAAAAGAAATGACGATTGATTATAAGGAAAAATGATAGAAGGAAAGACAGTAGGGTGCATTAAGCATGTATGGAAATGCCCCGATGTTACTCCTTAATATACAAGACCCTAAGGATACAACTCTAATTTAAAAAAAGAAAAACCCTTTATTTTCAAAAAGAAGAAGAAGCTGGGTGCTGTGGCTCACGCCTATAATCCTAGCTACTCAGGAGGCTGGTATCTAAGGATGCGGTTCAAAGCTAGCCCAGAGAGGAAAGTTCATGAGACTCTTATCACCAGTTAACCACCAGAAAACTGGAAGTGGTACTGTGGCCCAAGTGGTAGAGTGCTAGCCTTGAGCTGAAGAGCTCAGGGACAGTACCCAGATCCAGAGTTTAAGCCCCATGACCAACATAAAAATAAAAGGAGGAGGAGGAGAAGAAAGAGAAGGAGGAGTAAGGGGAAAGAAGAAAAAAGAAAGAAGAGGAAGAAGGAGGAAGAAGAAGAAGAAGAAAAAAAAGAAGGCGAAGAAAGAAGAAGAAAACATTGAACCAGGCAATGGTGGCTCAGGCCTTTAATCTTGGCTACTTAAGAGGCTGAGATCTTAGGTTTATAGTTCAAAGCCATCCCAAACAGGAATGTTTGTAAGATTTTATTTATTTATTTATTTTGTCGGACGTGGGGCTTGAACTCTGGGGTTGGGCGCTATCCCTCAGCTCTTCAGCTCAAGGTGAGCGCTCTACCACTTGAGCCACAGCTCCGGTTTTCTAGTGGTTTATTGAATATAAGAATGTCACGAACAAAAAAAAAAAAAAAAAGAATGTCACGGACTTTCCTGCCCAGGCTGGCTGTGAACCGCGATCCTTAGATCTCAGCCTCCTGAGTAGCTAGGATTACAGGTATGAGCCACTGGTGCCCAACTTGTTTGTAAGGTTTTTATCTCCAATTAACAACCAAAATGCTGGAAGTGTAACTGTGGCTCTACAGATAGCCTTGAGCAGAAAAGCTCAGTGACAGCTCCTAAGCACTAAGTTCAAGCTCAGGACTGCCATAAAAGAAAAAAAGAAAGAAAGGAAAGAAGGAACATGGACACTTTTGTGTTCGTTATGTGAATAAAAGATCCATACAGTTAATTCAACAACAGCACACTTCAGAGAGTGAAAAGAGGCACTTAACTGGATGTGATTCCAGGACACTAGCCATCAACTGGAGCTGTCCTGAGAGAACTGGGATGAATGGTTGTGCTGTGGGTGATGCTCTTCATAATGTACCACCCTCCTTGTCTGCAGACACACTGGGCCACTCACTATTCCCAACACACAGGCAAGAATGCCTATCTCTCTTCTCACACAAAAGTTTACCCTCAATTCTCTCCTGCAGAACAAATCAGCCCCTCCCATGGGTTATATATCTGCTTTCCATGTATCTCTAATGTAATTCTTACCATACAACATATGACATTTCTTTACCTCACAGTAGACTAGTGAGTCACTCTTCCCTAAATCCCCAAATAGTCACCCAGTTTTAAGATCATTTGTATTTAGAAACTGTTGAGTTTACAAATAAGTTGGGTTTATCGGTTGGCTTTGGATAATTTACATGTGGAAGAAATCTAAGACATTGCTAAGTGGGGTAAGGTACACCTGTAATCCTAGCATTCAGGAGGCTAGGGCAAGAGGATTATGTGCTCAAAGTGCCATGTTGCCTACCGCGTGAGTTTGAGGCAAACCTAGGCTATCTAACCAGATCCTACCTTTAGAGGAAAAAAAAAAATTAAGCTTCTAAGAATATGGTGTCTACTAGCATAAAGGTTGTTTTTATCTTCTTTCTTCATGTTATATTATTTGTCCCTACCTCACTTTGGAATAAACTCTGTGCATCTTATCCTGATGTTTGGTATATCTCACCCATCCATGGTCCTCATCTCTGTAGTCACTTTTGCAATTGTCACAGGATCCATTTCTAACCTGAAAATACAAGTCCCTCTGAAGGAAGTTCATAAAGCTATTTGTTTCCTGATGACAAAGAAAGGTTTGGTTGGCTTGTTTACTGGGCCTCCTTCCTTATCACTTTCTCTCTTAACTGGAATGTGGAAGTGGCACCAGGAGTTGCTGCTGCCCTGCGGCAGCCATGAGGTGAGCCAGCATATTATGGATGGAGTGGTAGGTGAGGGAAAGCTGGATCCCTGAGGGTTTCTTCCAGTCACTTAATGGGCTTTGGTGACTCCAAAACTTCTTGTATTCTAAACAGTAGACACTCAGTTCTCAAGAAACTTGGTTGGATTTCTGCTTATTTGCAGCCAACCATACTCATAATTGATAACTTAAAATAATCTTGATTTTTAAAGAGTTCTTAAATATTTGACTAGAGTGCTTCCTTTATATTTTATATATACAGAGTAGAGATAAGGTTGTGGTTATATGCCCTCGCTGCTGTTAATATTTTTTTTTCATTTTTGCTAGTTTTGTTTTTTGAAACAAGGTCACATTGAATAGCCGAGTCTGTCTTCAAATTTGTGATCCTCCTTCCTTAGTTTCCTAGCTGCTGGGTTTACATTATTAATCTCATGCCTGGCTCTTGTTGATGTTTTTTAAAATTCTCTTGTCAGTCTGGGAGAGTTGTTCAGTTATAGGATACAGTCCTATGTTCAATATTAAGCACCAAAATTAATTAATAAGGTAGTATAAAATGAATGCCAGACATTAGTGGGCTCACCCCTGTCATTGTTGCTACTCAGGAAAACAGAGATCAGAAGGATCTTGGTTCAAGGCCAGCCCAGACAAAAAGTTCACAAGACCCCTTCTCAACGATCACCTGGACACAGTGATACACATCTGTCATCCCAGTTATATAAAAAGCTGAGATCAGAAGGGTTGCAGTACTAGATGAGGAATGGCTGGGGAAAAAAGTTTGTGAAACTCCACCTAAATGAGCAAAAGCTGGGCACAGTAGTAAACATCATGGTAGGAAACATAAATAGGATTATGGTCCAGGTTGACTCCAGGCAAAAAACTTAAAGACCCTATCTCAAAATTAACCAGAACAAAGAGGGCTGGAAATGTTGTTCAAGAAGAGTAATAAGTATATTATGTTTGTATGTATATGTGTATTTTCTGTGTCACATGATAGCATTTCCTATATGTGTCATTTAGTAAAAAATTGAGATAACAGGTGTATTTCTCTACAGTTTTGTCTGAGAAAAATTTCAAATCTTTTTAGCTGTGATATTTAATTAAGAAGTTTCTAGTAGGGGGCTGGGAAGGTGGCTCAGTGGTAGAGCGCTTGTCTCACATGAATGAGGCCCTGGGTTCAATTCCTCAGTACCACATAAAAACAGAAAGAAAAAAAAAAGAAGTTTCTAATATATGTTTTGATTGCATCTATTCAACTACATAGTTTTAAAGGTATGTTTAGTTCGCATTTAATCAGCTTTGGTTTTACTTTTTCTTTAGCACCAAGGATGATTGTTTCAATGTTAATATTCAGCCATCTGTTGGAGAACTACTTTTACCTGTTGCCATTTCAGAGAAAGATTTTAAGAAAGAACAAGGTGAGAAATTATTACAATTTCCTAGAAATTTACGTACCAAAACTATGCTATATGCTTGTTCTGCTAATTGGTCTGTTGATTCAAACACATATTAGTCAATGCACAGTCTTCCCATTTTTGTTATTGCTTTGTACTTATGAAATAACCTTGAAAGTATATGCTTGTTTATGTTTCTGTTAGATTTGAAAATTAATTAGTATGTCTTTACAGTAACACATTGATTCTTAGCTTTTCAATTCTGATGATGGCCCTGTTCGGTGTAAAACACCAGGAACTTAGACTTAACGCTTTAAGGCTGTATTGCCGTAAATCTTATGTTTCTGTAGGTTTTTTATTATAGGCCTATTTTTCCACTCTTGGTAATACATTTTCCTCTGTACACAGTTAAGTACCTTACATTTCAAAATGAAGTCCTAATTATAGCATTAGAAGACCTCTCTTTTGACCAAATTTTATATTAAAGAAATAGTTTTAATAAATCAGAGCTGAGTTAAATGTACACCTTAAAAGGAAAATATTACCAGAAGAATGCAATTACAATGTATCTTCTGATAAAAATGAAGCCTTTTTTTCTGTATGTGAATATAGGAAAATAACAAAGATTTTATGTGTTAAAGGATAACATTTCTAAAACTAGGGAATATATTTTTGAATATTCAGCAATTTTTAAAACCATATGTGAATCAGAGCTATTTTTCCCCTTCTGAAGGATGCTATCAAACAAAGATCCCTTCGTTTTGAGATCATTAGATCATACTCATCAAGCTTCTAGAAAGTACTACATACATCCGAGGAAAGGAACATGCTCCCTGGCACTCCTTTGTTGTAGTGCTTATGATTGATTTACTCCAAGCCTTTTCGATCCACAGAATCAAAAAGACCTGTTGTCGAAGAATCTCACACAGAAATCCCAAACACAACTATAAATTTATAGGAATCTTTTTTTTCCTCAGACCCTATTTTTAAATGATAAAAAAGTGACTAAATCCAACTTTACATTTGTTTTCTCAAAAGTTGATTATTGCTATAGAAGAAAATTATCTTTGTGATTTTATTTTTCCCATAACAAATTGAATTGATTCTTGTATTTGCTATTCTTACCCTTTGCTGGCTAAAGCCTGCCTCTCTGCTTTGCATCTGTTCAGCAAACCAAGGTGAGTGGCATATAAGCGACTGAGTAAGGCTTTGGCACATTTATTGCTAAGAGGGTATTCTGTCTTTGAGAAGTACAAGTAAAGTCTATTTAAGGCAGCAGATTAGTGTATGCCCTTTCCCTTTCTCTCAGCTGTTGTTTAGAATAGTTGCTATTTCGATCAAATTTTTTTTTTGCTCTGCTGTAACAGAGGGATTTTTCGCTGACTAGCCATATAGAACCGTAAGTGCATGAGAGAGGTGCATTTGGAGAATAGCTGCGGTCCTCTGTGGACTTGTTGCCAAAATCCCTTTTTCTTCTGCCATTTTACTTCTATGGTTGTTGATTATTTGTCTGAATAAATCTGGCAGCTGTTTGCTATGTTTAATAGAGCAGAAAGGCTACTCTGAATAAAGCTATTTGAAAATTTGTTTATATGAAGTATTTGTAAATCCTTGCAAGTCTCTTGGCATTTCTGTATCATTCTTCCTGTCTTCCTGAATTCATTCTTTGATGTGGGACTTGATGCCGGCAAATTTGCCACAGGTTTCAAGAATCTTCTCAATAGCATCTTTTTAGTTCTAGATTTTAGCAGGTTTGGCAATAGAGATCTCAGTTTTCAACTGTATACATGTATTTGTTTGTTAGACAGAAGGTAAATGAAAATGACCTACTAACAAAATCCTAAATTAAAATAAAAATCATTTCCTCACATTTTATCAATGCATTGTTCTAGAAGGTAAAATGTGCATTTAAAAATGTGTTTAATCTGTTTCTCTGCTGTAAAAAAAAGAGTTTATATAATTGATCTCATTTCATGATATCTTTTAAGACTTCAAAATGATTAAATATGTTAGAAACTGAAAGTTATAAATAAGAGAAACAAAATGTTTCTTTTTTATTCTCAAGATATATACATAACTGAAAAGTGCAAATATTAAGTAAAGATGGTTCTAACAGATTCTCACATATTGGACAAATGTGTTTACAAATAAAAGGTTTTATTTCTAGTTATAACCAGCTTCATCACTTTTTCTGTTTTCTTAAGGGTTCTGTGGCTAAACATGATTGTTTTTACAATGGAGGTCAACATGCTAAATCAGGTTGCCTTTGTCATTGAATATTTATGGTATTCATATCATGAGCCTTAAAATGAAGCATAGTTTATTTATTGAGAGTTTTAAGTGCTGCGGAATTGGTTATGAGCTGTCTCTGAGGACATTTAAATACTGTAAAGAGCATAGAATTTCTTTTTATTTAAATTTTTAATTTTGTTTCTTCTATTTTAATTTCAAAGGCTTATGCTGATGGTTTGTTCCAGGATACTGCCTTTTGTTTACTTTCTTCCTGCAAATCCAAAACACAGAAAAATCTTTTCAAATTAGTTTTCTTACTTTACTTGGCTAGTTTAGTAGTTAATTACAGTTGATTGACCTAAATTAAGTGCAGTACTACACCTTCACCAAAAATTAGACAAATTCTAATAAAACTACCAGTTCTTCAGTCTGATGATTTTTAAATATTTTCCCAGTAACTTTATCTGTATTATGTGTGAGCAAGCTATGTACAATGTTTGAAAAGTATGTTTATATAACAGAAACTTTTAATGGTACCTTGGCATATTTTTCCTCCTACTTAATTTGAGAATACCTGATATATTTTCATTTAACAAAACCTCTGCTTTAAGAAACCTAAAATGTTTACTTAATTTTATTGTGATTTATGCATCCATCTTATGGGTTCCTAGTGAGCAAGATGCTAATTCTTTAAGTGGTCAGACATTTACTATTTTCTGGCCCTTAACTACCACAAGCAATCATATTTGATGCCCCTTAATTAGAGCACCTTTTTTTCTTTCCAGGTTCTTTTTCCACCTCAGCAATCGAGACAATACATTTGCTTACCATGCTGCTCTCCTAAGTGTTCTTTTGCATGTAAATTAATCTTGATTCAGTTTACACTGTCATGCTGAGTGGTACAAATTGCCTATAACAATAAAACAGCATGAGTTAAAAATAAAGGGGGGTGGGAAGGCAGATTGAATGTGTGCCTTACTTGATAGGATGTTACTTTGCTTTATGCCAATACATTAGCTGACGATAATGAATCTTCTGTTCTGAAAAGCATGGTTTAGTTGATTTTTTTAATTTTACTTCAATGGAACAGTACCTTGTCTTTTATAGAACAAGTTAGACAAACCATTAATGACAAGAGTGTTAAGGTTAAATATGAAGCAATGCATTCACTTCTCTGAGTGCTATCCATCTTTCCATTTACAGGAGCTTGACAAAAGTACTGGCTTTGTACAACATTTCCTTTAATTACATGCTGCGGGAAACAGGCTTTTAACATAAACATAGTTGCATTCATTTATTCAGCAGTTGCTCTTCAATAGAGCTTAATGGAGAAGGTTTAAATCCTAAATGAGTACACACATCTCTCAGCAGTGTTATGTCAGCCACTGTGCTTTACTTAAAAGCCATGCTTGACTGTGAGTGTAGTTTTTAAAGCTTTTGCCTAATATTGAAGTTAAGCAGCCTAAGACAGAACATAGTGTTTCTGGAGTTTGAAAGTAGTTAGTAAAAACTGCTCCTTATTACTAGATAGTTCTATTTTCTGTTTGGTGGCATCTTTTTATAATGAGAGGCTTTAGTGTCTTCATATCCTTAATCAGAGGGAGTTTTTACAATTTCAGATTACATTTGCAATAAATAATTAAATACATAAGGCCTAAAGGCTCAGGGTCCTTTGGATACATGGTATCAAGTTTTACAACTTTCATAAATTTTGTAAATTATATGTTTTAGACATCTCAAAAAAGGTGTCCATGACTTATGTGACAGCTCCAAATATGACATTTATTGTGCTTATTTTATTTAATTAAATTCTTGTCACTGAACTTCAACATATTTTCCAAATGTTCTGTTTGCTGTTGAATTTGTTTCCCAAACAGTTCATATGAGATTCTGGTGTTAATGGTGTGTCTTTGTCAACTATAGTGTTCTGGTTATAATTGTTCTTCACCTGGTTTCTTTTTAAAATACTGCTTGAAATGTCTCTAGGATGTTTTTTTTTCGATTTACTTTTTTTCCTGTTTTCAAACTTGTTGCTTTGGAAATTTCATTTTGTGTCTTTTCAACAATTCTAGTTCTTTTCATTAGGCAGATACAATTAGGCAGCTCCTTTCATTAGGCACCTGAAGCGTCCCTTGAAAACTTGGAGTTTGTCACATTGAAGCTGTGCATCATGTAATGATACTAGTTATTAGAATCACTTTGCTTCGTCTTCAAAAGCAATATGTAGTCATCTTTGAATGAATGGAAAATAATAATAATAATGGGAAGAAGACATTTTTACCAAGTAGAACTTTGGCTCTGAGCTTAAAATTGATTGATTTTCATGAAGAAATCAGTAAATCCAAGTCTTCTTTTGCTTTTGCAGGAATGTTAACAGGAATGAATGAAACCTCTGCTGTGGTCATCACTGCACCACAGAATTTCACTCCCTCCATGATCCTTCAAAAGGTTGTGAATGTGGCCAACGTCGGCCCAGTGCCTTCTGGCCAAGATAATATACACAGGTAGGTCTCATTTCATGAGGAGAACTTGTACAAGTACATAAAATTTAATTTCCTAATAATCTTTAAACATGAATGTACCTCCCTTTTTTTTTCTCATTAGTATTTGGTTGATGGGTTTGGGGTTAAAGCCCTTCTTCATTTTATAGTATATTACATTGGTTTGACTTTTCCTGAAATACAGAGTACATCCACATTTTCATATAGCTTGCTAATTTTGTTGTTGTTGTTGTTTTACCTTGTTTTTTTTTTTTTTTGTGCCAGTCCTGAGGCTTGAAATTAGGACCTGGGCACCATCTCTGAGCTTTTTTTTTTTTTTTTGGTTGGTTGTGGGGCTTGAAGTCTGGGCTTGGACGCTATTCCTCAGCTCTTCAGCTCAAGGGGAGTGTCTACCACTTGAGCCACAGAGCCACTTCCAGTTTTCTAGTAGTTTATTGGGGATAAAAGTCTCACGGACTTTCCTTGCCCTGGCTTTGAACCGTGATCCTCAGATCTCAGCCTCCTGAGTAGCTAGGATTATAGGCGTGAGCCACCGGTGCAGGCTCTGAGCTTTTTTTTTTTTTTTTTTGCCCAAGGCTTATTGTACTGTTCCACTTGACCCACATCTCTTTCATATTTTTGTGGTTAATTAGAAATGAGGGTCACATAGACTTTCCTGCCTGAGGGAAAGTCTAGGCTGGCCTTGCACCTTGATCCTCAGATCCCAGCCTCCTGAGTAGCTAGGATTACAAACATGAGCCACCAGTGCCCAGCTGACTTGGTAAATTTGTCAAGATGCCTTCCATGAATCAGTTGAGGTTTTATTTTATTCTTGCCAGATCCAGTAGATCTTTAGATATTCTAAATTAATTTCAATACTTAATTGAAAGTAGTTAAAAAACTGAAAATTGAACAACTTCTTATAAATTAGTGGAGTTAGACTCACCTTTTTTTTTCCAATTGAAAGGAAGTTTTAAATACAACAGAGACTTCCTTTGCAAAGAAGTTCCCTAAGCAAGCCTTCATGGGGAGTTGCTAGACAACTATCATGGACTAAGTACAGCTTCTCTTTTCAGACCAGAACTTTCTGTACCACTAAGCATCAGAAGCATGAGATCCAAGTCACAAATATGATTATCATGTTTGCTTTCTTCATATTCTTATTAGTGCCAGTATTTTTTAATTAAAATGAAGATTTATCGCTTAACCACATGATTTTTGCATAGTCAACTCTATGGGCTAAAGGGAATCATTGCATCAAATAATTTTGTGGTATACTTGTGCTGTTAAAAATATCTTTACCCTATAGACCTTAAAAACTTTTTTTTTTAATTAAGGAACAGCCAAAACTCTATATGCAAAAAGTACCAGGGTGGTAAGGCCCAGCCCTATATTGGGACAAACTAATATTTCTTCTTATGGGCTTTAATTTCCATATCTGTTTGTGTAGAGATGCCTAGGAGAGTGAATGGTCATCATACTGGTATTACCGTGTAAATTTAACTTACCTATCAGTTAATTTTATTCAAATGGGAAAAATTAAGCAGAAGCTTTCTCAGTAAAAGTTAAAAAAAAAAAAGAATTTGATCTAAGTGTTCTGGGTTTTTTTCTACTTAAATACTTGGCTTCCCTATATGATTTTCTCACTCAAAAGCTACCTTATTTATAAATCCTCAGAATTATTGAAATAATACAAGATCAAATTGTTTATTCATCAACTCCAACTTTTGGCTTATTCAGTATGACAGTTGACCTGATGCATCAGGTATCCCTTAACACTGCAATCCTGGGGCACTGAACTCAGGGGCTTGAACTCAGGGCTGGGGCACTGTCCCTGAACTTTTTTGTGCAAGACTAGTGCTCTAGCACTTTGCGCCACAGCGCTACTCTGGTTTTCTGGTGGTTAATTGAAAATAAAAGTCTCATAGACTTTGCTACCTGGGCTGGCTTTGAATTACAGTCCTCAGATCTCAGCCTACAGTCTTGTTTTGCTATTTTTCGTAATGCACAAAAAACATAGGAAAGCCATTGTTTATGTTGAAACTTGTAGTTTAGTCTCTGTTTAGTATGTAGATCATTAGGAAGGACAGTTGTTTTATTTTTTACTTTTTTAAAAACAATAACAAGGGCTGGGAAGGTGGCTCAGTGGTAGATCGCTTGCCTTGCATGCCTGAGGCCCTGGGTTCTATTCCTCAGCACCACAGAAGCAAAAAGGAAAAAGCCGGAAGTGGTGCTGTGGCTCAAGTGGTAGAGCACTAGCCTTGAGCTGAAGAGCTGAGGGACAACGCCCAGGCCCAGAGTTCAGGCCCCACGACCAGACCCAAAAAATAAATAAATAAATAAAAATAATAACAATCTTTTGTTCTTTAGAAGGAAAAAAAAACCTCAGCTAGGCACCAGTAGCTCACACACCTATAATACTAGCTACTCAGGAGGCTGAGATCTGAGAATTGAGGTTTGTCTTCCTAGACTCTTGTCTTCCTCAAGATTCTTTATATCCAGTTAACCAGCAAAAAGGTGATAGTAGAGATGTGACTTAAGTAGTATTGCACCAGCGTTGACCAAAAAAAATTAATAAGCAAGGCCTAGCATTCAAGACTTTGTACCAATAAGAATAAAAAAGGAAAAGGAGAAGAAACTCAAAAGATGTTCTCAAAACTATTAGATAATATGAAAGCATTTCCCTACTGGAAGACTAGACTAGAAAGGATATCTAGCATAATTGTATACTTGCTATTGCATAGTTTGCCTGAATGTCTTAATATCTATACAAGTAATTAAAATTATTTAAATTAAAATTCCTACAGTTAATTCTTAATTATCTATGCTAATACAGAGGAGAAACATAACTCAGAACCATCTATGTTTAACTCTAGAATTCAGAGATGACACTCTAAAACTTTCTATACAGTGATCCTCACACATATATTAGGTGTCTTGATAAATTTCTAGCTCCATCATTAGTGGCTGCTTTTTTGGCTCTGTATTTAGAGGAAGAGCTCAAACAGAGTCAAACATGAATAGAATACCTACATTTCTTTTTTTGCCAGTCCTCAGGCTTCCACTCAGGGCCTGGGCACTATCCTTGATCTTCTTTTCCTCAAGGGTAGCACTCTATTACTTGAGCCACAGCGTCAGCACTTCTGGCCTTTTCCGTTTATATGATACTGAGGAATCGAACCCAAGGCTCCATTCATGCTAGGCAAGCATTCTACCACTAAGCCACATTCCCAGCCCCATTTATTTATTTGTTTTTTTTGTTTGTTTGTTTATATTTTTTGTCTCATGGGGTTTGAACTCTGGATGTGAGTTCTTCACCTCCATGGTGAGCACTCTACCACTTGAGCATCATTTCCGGTTTTCTCGTGGTTAATTGGAGATAAGAGTCTCACAGACTTTCCTGCCCAGGCTGGCTTTGAACCATGATCCTCAGATCTCAGCCTCCTGAGTAGCTAGGATTAGAGGTGTGAGTCACCGGTACCCAATCCCCTATATTTCTTTCTTTTATTTTTTTTGTCAGTCATGGGGCTTGAACTCTGGGCTTGGGTGCTATCCTTGCACTCTTCAGCTCAAGGCAAGCCCTTTACCGCTTAAGCCACAGGGCCACTTCCAGTTTTCTAGTGGTTTATTGGAGATAAGAGTCTCACGGGCAAGGACTTTCTTGCCAGGGCTGACTTTGAACCACAATCCTCAGATCTCAGCCTCCTGAGTAGCTAGAATTACAGGCATGAGCCACCGGCGCCCGGCATTTCTTAAGAGTAGTTTGTACTCTCTTCTTAGTTCCAATCAAACTTAATTGAAGGTAGCTTATTTACTTTTATTGATAAAGTATAGTTCTAATAATTTTCTTAATTTTAGAAAGTTTCCAAATCATAAATACCATAATAGTTGTATTTTCTATATCAAAATAATTCACATTGTTATTATCTCTATATACCATTGTCTATACCTTTGTGCTCATAGCAATGAGAACAAACAATTGTTTATAGGGTCTGTGTTAGTGCTTTTCATTTAAAATGAAGTAGCAGTTACTGGTATTTATAAATACCAGTATATTCTTCTTGACCATTTAATGAATAAGTTCCCACTGTTTAGTATTGAAATAGTTTATTCCTGATACTCTCCAAACATTCAGTATTTTTACATCAAATACTGCATAGGGGGATACTTATTATAAGAAATTTTAGGAAGTGAACCTTTGTTAATATGCAAAGGTACGTAATAATAATGTAATAGGAATTTTAATTGGGTGATTAATAGAAAATATTCCTAATACATCAACAGAAAATGGCTGCCATTAAGAACAAGTCAATTTAAAAACACAAGAATTTACTTCACAGACTTAGAACCTCTTCTAAATAGTTAACAATTGGAAAGATCAATTGACAAAGCAGATCTACTCCTAGATTACATGATTTAGTATTTATTTTCTAAACAAGTGATAGAGTCAGAAAGCCATACAGCATACCATTCATTACTCACTATTAGCTTCCTATCTGTGTAGATCCTTTCTGTTTGGGAAGCTTCTCTCTGAGAACAAAACATATTTACTGAGCTCTACCTTAGGGTTTTTGGTGCCATCCTGTTGCTTTCCAGATTGGAGTTATCACTTAGGGAGGAGTGACACAGGAATAAACATTTATTAAATAGGTAGTTGAATATTTTCATTTATTGTGTTAGCTATTCATATGAAAACATATGAGATATGCATTGTAAAAGTCTTAAAAGGTGTCATATAAGTGCTAACAAACTAATCCATAAATAAAGTAAATGCAAAGACAGAATAGTCAGCATTACACTGTATATAAATGGACTGCAAAGGAAAAAAGGTCAAGAATTCATATGTTCTAAAGGAGGAGATGAGACAGAACAGCTCATATAGGAATAGAAAAAAAATGGTGATCCTCTGAGGTAAATCCAGTAGCATTTATAAAGGTGATTCATATTCAGTGATGTAGAAACAGAGGAGTATTGATTTTAATGTATTACTTGTTCCCTGGTAACAGTGCTGAGTACTATAATCA